AAGTCCCAGTGGGTGCCAGCTGACTCCTTCCAATGGCCGCTTTTCTGTCTTTGCTTAGTGCAGTCTCTTGAGAGGGGTGCTGGGGTCTGTGCCCCACAAAAAGGATGGGGCAGGAGCGGGATGCATTTGTCTCACGCTGCCCAGGTTGCAGCACTGCCACAGGGCTCATCCCAGCCTGTGGGACCTCCCTGAGTTTCCCATGCCAGCACCCCAGAATCAGGCTGTTTTAGGGAATGGTCTTGTTCCCCACTGTGTGTCCATCTTTGCCTGCTACCTTGGGATAAAATTCCAGGTAAATCTCAAAGAGAAAGTTGCTGTACCTATAGCATGGGCGGACCCTTAGGTAGGTTAGGTTCAGGAACTGTCTCTAGGAAAAACGCAGGGTGAAGCTGATGATGGGCTGTCTCACCACTTCACTGTAGTGCAGCAGGAGACGGTAGAGCCTGCCTCCTGCCATGCTACATAAATTGTTTGAAAATGGTACTGAAACCCTCCTGCACCCCTTTTCCCTCCATCTGCCCATCACTTCCCCCGCCCTGGGGGGTAATATTTAGAAATAAAGCTTTTGCAGTGGAGGTGGATCTGAAACTTCTCCCAGCACAGAAACCTACCCATTTGCACTCTGCAGAGAAGGCTGGCAGGGAAAGGACCATGCAGGGGGCACCATGGCTGCCCATGGGCACACAGAGACCACCCCTCTCCTCCCCACCCCAGCTGCTCCCGCGCCGGGTGCCATGCCTGCTGGGGGGCCCAGCCCCAGCCCCCTGCCAGGTCCCCAGGTCCCATCCGCCCGAGCCGAGCGGGATGGGGCAGGGGGAGCAGACAAGACCCCATCTGGTCCCTTCTTTCAGTTTGTCCTTCTCAGTCTCTCCTTTTATATATTCCTCGTTTCACGTGTCTGTGTTTTCTCTCCTCCATGCTATGGCAGTGGTGCTCCATGCTGATGAGACAGTGCGTGGTACAACCGCAGGCAGTCATTTTTCAGGTAATTTCTAGGGTACTGAACACCCGACTCTTGCTTTTTCACCTACTGAACAGCAGGTCGGGCTTCCCGCTGCGCGGGGAGGGATCCCCGGCTATGCCTGGGCATCCCAGGCTGCTCCTCACCGGTGGCGGTGATGACTCGACGGTGGAGGAGCCTAATCTGAGACCCCTTCTAGTACCCCCCCGAGCAGCTGGAGAGGCTCCTGGGGAGGGTCAGCAGGAGGGTCTTGATGGGGCCGCGAGGTGAGGGGCTGCTCCACGAGCGCTGCCTTCCCCCCGGATTTTCCTCTCTTCTCCGGACGAGGCGTCTGGAAGGATGGGCTCTGCCTTGGGGGAGCGGGAAGATGGGGTTCTGCTGTGCCCCTTGCAAGCACGTGAATGCCCAGTGCTGCAAACCCTCAGCACCAGCGAGGCTTGCTGCTTCTTCAGGGGTTGCTGTGATCCCCTGGGCCCTGCACAGGGGAGAGGAGGGCTGCAGACAGTGCCCGCCGGTCGGTTCAGGGGTGTAGGCTCTTCTGCTCTGCACCGCTGGCTCCCCGCTCCTTGGTGGCCAGATGATACCTTCTTCTGACCCTTGCCTCCCTGCAGCATCTCTCAGTGGGGTGGTGACAGACACTATTTGCAGTGGTATTGCTTCCTTCTCTGCCCACAGCTCTCGGCTGTGCAGTATTTCACTGCTGCTGCACCAGTCTTATGCTGGCCCGGGCCATGTCCCCGCTGCTCCATGGTGGGAGCTGTAACAGCAGAGCCAGTTGTGACACAGGGGCTCACTCCCCCACCAGGGCTGTGCAAGAATGTCGGGGGTCGGCAGCTGCTGGGGCTGCCTCTTGGCCCGGGGTCCCTTCACTTGGGTGCTGGGAGCAGCAATGGTGGTCGGTGCATGGTCGGTGTGGCTTCTGGTGGCCAATTGCTGGTGGCTCCGAGGGCAGATGTGGGCACAGTTTTGCCATGGGAACAGGGAAACAGCTGGAAAAACCCTGAAAATTCCACTATTCTTACCTCTGGGAAAAGTTGCTGGGCCATTGCAAAAGAGGTGCAGCTCCTGTCTGCAGCAAGCTACTGGGACCGAAAGCAGGGAGGGACCCCAAACCTCCAGTTCTCACGCCTCAGTCTCCTGAAGCCCTGCAGCAGTGCCATCCAGCCATGGACTCTCCCTCCAGACCATGCTGGGCAGCTATAACGCTTCCAGTCCCTCTGGTCTGCAGAAGTGGTCCCGTGTTTTGGGGCTGTGCTGCTGCAGGTAGGTGAGATGAGGCAGCGCTGCCCATGGGAGGGCCATGCGGCTGCACATCACTCCATCTCCCCATGGTGGGGTGACATGGATGAGCACGGGGTACCACCACACCCCAGTGGGGTGTGCTACATCCTGATAGCTGCTTGCTTCTGACACTGAAACTGGTCAGTCCCTCTGAGCTTGAAGGGCCAAGCTCGTCGTTTGTTGATGTGGTGCTTCCAGAAAGTTAGTTAAGGGGTGAGACCTGGTCCTGCTTCCTCCTGTGTCAGGTCCTCAGACCCCAGAAGGGAAGCAAGCTGTGGTGTTTTGATGTCTGCAGCCTGCTCCAGAGTCCCGTGTCTGGGGTTTACAGGCAGGGGCTTGGACTGGTCCCAGCTGGGTTTGTGTGAGGAGCGGCAGCCCCAAAAGCCACTTTTGGCTGTGGGGTTTGGACGTGTACACCCTGCTCTAGCCCTGCATGTGACCCAGCCTGTGGCACAGCTGGATGCTTCCTCCCAAACTACCAGTGGCCAGCTCTCCCTTTGAAAGCTGGAAGCCATGTTCACACCCTGCCTGCGGGGAGCAGTGGATCAGTGTGGCATGGAAAGACACAAAGAGATTTTCTAGTCTGGATATGGTGCAGTTACGGCTTGCTGAGAGCAGCAGGGGTGGAATAAGGCGTCTGTCCCCAGGGAGTGGTGTGCGCTCTTCTCCAGCCATCAGAAATACCAAACAGCAGTGCACAAGGACAGCTTTTTCCTCTGCTGTGCTCCTGGCCCGTCCCACACTGCTCGTGCATCACCAGCTGCCTGGGATGTCTCTGCAGGGCTGCAGCCAGTGTCTTGTCAGATCAGGGCTTTGGGGAGTAAAAAACGCAGTGGTGTTGCCACACATGCACATACTCAGAGCAGGGGAAAGGTGGGGTTGCAGATGTAGGACAGTGTGGAGTGGTGTGGGAAGGCTGAAAAACACACCTTGGTAGGATGTGGAAGGAGCTTTGGTTGCACTTGTAGGAAGGAGGAAGGCTGGGACCATCGCTGGCATCCTCTGCAGGGCAGGGATGCTCCAGGGGCTGTCCTCCGCAAGGTGCAGAAGTGGGGCTGAAGCAGAGGTGTGGGTGTGCGCATCTTTGAGGCAGTGGTGGTAGAAGAAAGAGGCTGGGTGAGTGAAGGCAAGGGAAACATGAGGGCACGGAGGGTGTCGGAGGAGGAATAAGCTGAAAAGGCTGAGGAATAGGACAAGTTTAATGCAAAGTTTAGGGAGGAGCATAGGAGACAGATCATTGCTGAGAAGCCTTAGGTCCAGAGGACCCTGTAGTGCTGATCCATGGGCTGGATGAAAGGACAGGGTGGCCAGCAGCTGGTCACTGGCAAAATGTATTTGACACACTCATCTGCAAGAGGTTTGTATGGGGGATCCTTCAAGGTGACAGGGTGTACTTGTGTGCCATGCAGAGCGCATCCTCAGAAGAAACACGTGTATTAACACAGACCTGCTAATACAAGGTTATCCATGTAAATTAACTCTGAGTGAGAACTGAGCAACAGAGACACGAACAGATATATCTGACCCAAAGTGCTGAGCTCGTGGCAAATACCAGATTGCGTGCCAGATTCTCAGATGCTTCCGAGAAACTTGCAAGAGGGAGAAAGACGCATTCACTGAGATCAGCTTTTGTTTCCTTAAAAAAAAAAAGTTAACTTTTTGATTTGGTCACTCAAAAAAATTTCAGGGTCCTGGGTTGCCCTACGTTGCTTCAGCTCTGCACAGCTTCTGCATCGGCTTTGTCTGCAGAAATACAGTGGGGATCAGCTTCCAAGTTGTTCAGTTTATTTGTTCCTATTGCTGTTCTTCACTTGAAGGCATCACCCTCCAGTTGTTACAGGCATGATTACGGTCTCACAAATAAGGGATTAAAACTTAAAGTGCAAATAGCAACAGGGAAGGGAGAACTTTGAAAGGAAACTTCCCAGTTTTGTGTGAATGATCCTGCAATAAGAAATCATGGCAAAAGGCAAATGAAGATAAGCTTTCTGCCGTATGCATGGAAGTCCTTCTGGATGTATGGATTGGCCTGACCTGCTGTAGATTGCCATAGCTGTATGGACTTTTACAAGGTTATAGGACATAAACAATCTGATTTCTGAGGACCTGTGCTCGTTTACCATAGCTTTGGCTAATGAGATTAAAAAATTCCCATGAGATGAGAGAGCATCCTTACAACAGTCAGGTGATTCATTTTTAAATAAGTTTCATTTAGAAGCAGTTGGCTACAAATTCATCCATTAAGCAAACACTTTTATTTACATGCACTTTATTTCTTGTGAGATGATGAGGAAATGCAGCATTCCCAAGAAAAAGGGGGAAACGGGACAGCCTGTTCCCACCTGCTCATTAGTGCTTTTCTCTTCAAGTGCCACCACTGAAATAAGGAGAGTTCAGGTTAACTGGCATGAGCATTTTTCTCTAACAAGCAAGTTACTTGCACTCAGCAGTTAACAGCCCCCAGTTACTCTACAAAATTTCCTCTTTAAGGAAAGCCTTGTTACATATTGATGAGTTTGACTTCAGCTTTATAAAGAAAGCCTATTTTGGTGTTCTCTGAGAACATCGGTGATAAGCACAGACCTGCTTATTGAGCCTTTTGAATGCTTAACAGCCCCCTGTAAATGGGTATTGCCTTTAAAACTGACTGAACAAAGGATTTTTGAGTTCTGTATTGCATCTACTTTTTGTCATAGAGGCAGAAGCTCTTGAATAGTACATTTATTATCGCTAAAATGCCTTTTGTTTCTTTTTCCAGGCAACTGAATACTCAGCCATGGCATCATTAGCTGGTGGATTAGATGACATGAAGGCCAATATAACCAGCCCTACTTCTGCAGATTTGGGAGCGAGCGTTCCTGGGCCTCAGTCATATCCTATTGTCACAGGTAAACAATTTTCCAACGCCGATAAGTGGTGTGAAGTGTGTGTGTGTGTGTGCACATTGCAGCGTGGTGCCTTTTATGGAGGAGTTGTGTCAGATATGGAGTCATTTGCTTAAAAAGTCTATTTTTAACTGTGATTTCATAGCAGCTCTGTGGAAAGTCAGGTGCATGGCTTGTATAAACCAGTAATGTTTGCTTGGAGCCAACAGACCTTCGTCTGCCCAGGAAGGGATATGCCCCTCCACCCCAAGCCTGCATCTGGAATACCAAGATGTAACAGAAAAGCAGAATGCTTGTCTCTGCTTTTGGGCTTTGTTGCTTGGTTTTCATAAAGGTGCCTGGCATGTTTGACTGCATGGGGATTTTATGACAGTTCAAACTAGCTTGAATTTTGGATGCTTTTGATTCCTACAAATGCTCATGTTTTATACCATTTCTGGAATTGTAATTGTGCGCTAAGGCTAAGTATTTAAATGAAAAGCAAAGCTGTTTTGTTCAAGGAATGCAGCATCACCTGCATTTATTTAGCAGGCATAGAGTGAGAGTTAAGGAACAGCTAGAATTTGATAAATGCTTTCGTCACCTATTTATTTGGGACTGATCACATCACTCGGTATGAGAAATGGTAAGAAAATGACGAAATTGTGTCCCAGAGGAATTGTGTGAATCAGAAAAAAAGGATTTTAAGATCTAAGGCTCTGTGTTTCCTATGTGTGTTTCCTATGTGTGTTACTTCTGTCCTTGTGTCTAACCTGTGCAGATTTCATCACTGGATTTTCTCTGTTTTTCCAAAGATTGGATTTACTTGTTTATTTTGTTGCTAAAAGGGAAGGTATATACTACAGTACTATAGTATTATTGTATCTTGAAAGCACTATGATCTCATCAAGCAGGAGAGCAGTTTTGAAAATGAATATTGTTCCAAAATTGTTTTAACCCAGTGTGGCATCAGTCTTTGACTCTTCTTGCCAAAAGTTTAGGAGTATTCCAATGAAATTAGAAAGTTACATGAACTGTAAGGAAATCCTCGAAGTGGGAGGAGAGAGACTTCTTGAAATAATTGTCAGGTAATGGGTGAGTGGTTCAAGATCTAGACTCAAATAAGAAAGGTGTCTAGGACTGGATGGATGGAAAGAAAGAGGGATTTTTGGATATTTGTGGCTTATAGCAGATAGGGAGAGAAAGCATACATATATATACATATTAATTATTTATTTAAAAAAGAAGGAACTTGAACTCTCATGTTTGGGGTCATAAGCCATCCGTACAGCCTATGAAAGTTGAAAAGAAATGTCTCCTAAGGCAAATTGTTCTGTAATTGTTTGCTACAGACCTCCCTGCATCTTTCTTTGAAGGCTGAAGTGCTGCTCATTGCAAAAGAACCAGGCTGCCTTGGCACATCACAGGTGTCCTGTTGCCCTTCGTTCATCTTCTGGGTGTTTGTCTCTTGCTCACCTGAGCCTGTGCCCCTGTGACAACCCTGATACCCCCTTAGAGGCACTCGTGCTCTGCTGATGAGCACAGCCCAGCAGCACCTTGGACCACATGAGTGGGTGCTGTGAGCATCACTGTCTAGGGCTTTCCCAACCAGGAGCATCCACAGCTTACAGTGCGGGATGGGAACTGATGGGAGCCATGTCTTGAGGGGGAAGCAAAATAGCAAGAAATTACTGAGCTGCATTATCAAGGAGTGAAAGTTAGGAAGGCAAGATGATAGAGAAGCTGAGTGGTTCCTTGCTTCTGTCTTCTATCCAGGATCTGCACCTGGCCAAAATCAGGTTCAGCCAAAAGCTGTTGTTTGATTTGATGCTTCAGCAGAGCTTGTTCTTTTATGCTTGTTTAAGCATGTCTTCTGGTTCTTACGTTACTACTTCCTTAGAGTTTGGTGAGCTGACTGATCACGTTTGTTGGAGCAAAACCGACTACAGAAATGACGCTACAGAGCTCGATATGGTTTTCTCATGGGTTCTCGCTGTGACATAACCTACACTTGAGCAAAAGTTCCAAATGTTAAATTTACTAGTTCTCATAAAAACATGGAGCAGGCTTTATGAGAAGCAAACCTAGAAAAAACCTGCCATTGGTCTTAAATGTGACAGGATGAGAGCTATAACAGAACACATTTTACAAGGCAGTAGGTATTTATATCTTTAATTTAATATTGCTGTAGAATTTTCTAACACCTGCATTCATAAAACTTAGATTTACACGAGCATATCAAAACCCTTTTAAAAACTATGCCTTTTGATATATTTTTGGAGAAGATTGCCTGACTATTATCCTCCCTTTTCCTTTCGTAACACCCGTAGCAACTGCTTTGTGCTGCTCATGCTCTGGAAGCACCCAGGAGCCCCTGGCATGGTCTGGGCCCTAGCGCTGGGCATCTACGGTATGACCAAGTCATGCTCTCTGCCTCAAAGCTTTCGTAATGAGCTAAGGGGACTGTCGAGGGCAGGAAGATTTAAGCAGCAAGCCATACTTTGTAATGTACAAGGCATGTAAGTTACAGCACCCTTGGTGATGCGTTTCCTACCATAGCTCTGGACAGACTTCTCAGTTTTCTCCCAAGAATTAACTCACTTTTTCAGTCACGCCTCTTTTCCCACCCCATTTCCTTGGTGGGACAGAGGATTCAGAAGAGGAGACACATTATTGACCCTTTTTCACTTGTAACCAAAAGCTGCATATTGCTGCTGGCCTTACATCTGTAGTAGATATCAATGAAAATTAGGAGGAGCTGGGCAATGATACGCAACGGTGGTTATGAGAGCAAGGTCCAACAAACATTTGCTAACATATCACATACTCGGCCTACTGGGAACTTTTTTGTTGTCTGTGGTCTGACCAAAGCTATGGTAAAATTCAGTGGTTTAATGTTCCTAAGCTGGGGCTGGGGTGGGTGGTTGAGGGTAGGTAGTAGATAAGGCAAGCAACACCTGGAAGGTTAGCTTTTTATCAGCCCCGCTTTGGTGGTCAGGAACTGACTGACGAGAGAAGTCCTGCCAGAGCCAGGTCCCGGACCTCAGCCCCTTGTCTGGCAGGCAAGAGCCTGAGCCTCGCAGGTCCATGATGGCATTTCTCCTGCGAACTGCTCCTCCTTGGAGGAGGAATGGCCAACCTGAACCCATCTTTTTTTGAGATTCAGAAAGTTGGGTTGCTTTTAATTTCTTTCCCCTTTTTTGAGTGCTTCCACTCTTCCTCACTCCAGTCAGTCTGTCCTGTGATGTGTCCAAGCAAACTGAGAGCACGAGACTGAAAGCCTTGGGGGACAGCTTGTTTTGGTTATGCTAGCTAGTATGTTTTCAGCTGTAAAAGTAAGGGGTGACTGGATAAAGCTCCACAGAATGTCCAAAGTCTGCATCTGGTGGTGCTAAAGGCTTGAGAGGTTGACCTCACTTCTCAGTTGACATTCCAGATTATAAACATTTTTGTAACACCTTCACTGTCATGAGACCAAGAGCTGCTTAAAACACTGGCAAGTGAATTGTAGTATCTGGAAGAGTCTGTTGGTGGGAAACGTCGTTTCTGGGGAAACAGAAGCTCTTCTGGTGTGTGTGAAGCAGAGCTGTGGACGTGTGATTGCACAATGCTTCAACAGAGAGTGGGGCTATCAATGGGCGTAGGGCTGAAAAGCTGCATTTCTGGGGGTAAAGAACTTGAAATATGACATACAGGGATTTGAGCTAAGAACACTAATGTCCTTTTGATAGCTGGTATCTGCTGTTCAGGCTTGATCAGTTTTTATGAGAAAGTCTGGAGACTTTCTGGGCTGCCATTTGTGAAGAGACCTGAGTCTAGTTCATTTGTCAGTCTTAAGTCTGTAAGACAGATCGTAAAAGAATTTAATGCAAATAAAGCTGAGAACGGAGGTCTTAAGTGAGTTCTGATCAGAGTCTTTCATTGTTCTTGTTGCCAGGTTGTGGTGTGGGCAGCAAAGCAGTATTGAGGGTTGAGTTGCAAAAGATCCTCTGTGATCTGTTGGTAGGAAATGTAAGATTTCTATTTCTTCGCAAGCTGGTAGATCAAAACATTTGGGACGCTTTTTGAAGATGAAAGGATTGCCTAAACATTGGTGTTCATGGAAGCACTTGCTGCTAGAATATGTTTAAGGAAAAATTTGGTGACGGTTCTCAGTACTGCTTCATCTGCTGACTCCGTTGTGTTAGGGACCACCAGCCAAAGCTCTGATTAGAGAGCCACTCGATTTCTCTCCATCGTTTTTATGCCACATTAAATACTAAGTTTAAAAAAAAACCCTTCCTTTACTGCTTGCTGCCACGGTCCATAAGTGCTCTCTCCATTTACAAGCCAATGACATGTGCCCAGCTCATTACTGCTGTAGTCAGCAGTTTCCAAGCAGCCCGTGATTGTTACTAATTACCTGCAGATGCATTTTCCGTGCTCCGGCTTGCTGATTTCAGCGTGGTCGGTATCACTTTGAGAGGACAAAGTCGTGCTAAATTGACACCTTCGTGTGGCTCTCCAATACAGCGCCGAGGGCAGATTGACAAACCTGCGGGCAGCCCTGTCTGCGGCCAGCTGCAGAGTCAGTTTGCATTAGCAGAGCCAGGAGCAACTGTCGGCCAGCCTCACCCAGAGCCAGAGAAGCGCCTTTCACTGTAGTGGGATCTGACGTGAACTCTGTATCGTGCTGTTACGAGAAGCAGCACAGAGCAAAGCATTGGCAGTCGGCTTTGGTTTTGTTCCTCTGGCAGATGTTGGAGTGGGGGAGCTTGGTCTTCTCCCATGCTGGGACATCTCCATCGCAGCTTGCCTCCCTTTGCTTGCCTGCTCTTCCAGGTCGCTGCCAGGACACTCTCAGATGTGCTGGCTTCCAGCCTGATGAGTGTGTTCTGTTGGAGCTGTACTGATGCAGTACAGGCTGCAGTGCATTTCACATCTTACACACCCGTGCAGGGAGATACTGAGACTCTGCCAAATACGGACAGGTTATTCCTTATCCTTTGCACTCAGTCTTGTAACCACAGTGTGGAAAGAGTGTT